GAGGATTTTAGATTCTATTCTGGATTTAACAGGAAGCCAATGACCCACCTCCCTGCCACTTTACAGCAGCTTGGTGTCAGGCTGGATTGTTTTTTACAGAAGGTTGAACCACCTGGAAAACTTACAGCCTTTAATGTAAATGGACCCGTTTATAGGTGCAGTAATTAAGCTTTTAACAAATATGGATGATTTGATTGGATCGTCTCTGTACCTTTAGGTGAATTTGGGGCTTTATAAATAAACTGAATTGAACTGTCTGTGTGAATCTCTGACTTGGTTCCTGTTTGTTTCAGGAAAAGTCTCCCCTACTGGCCATCCTCATCTCCCTCTGTCCGTGTTATTAGCTGCTGCACCTGCTTCTGTTCTGCTCTTTCTGGTCTTACTGGTCGTTCTGGTGAGACGATGTGTTCAAGGTCAGACATCTTTCCTGGTTTCATGGTTTCTGTGCAGCCAGACCTTCAACTGTCTGTCTGCAGCACATTCAACCTAATTCCTCTTTTCTATATAATTAACCAGGTTTATTGATATCACTCTGTTTTCTCCTCCAGCTGCTAAAAAGGACGACATCAGCTACAGTCAGGTGGACATCATCAGCCAGAAGAAACCCCCAAAGAGTCAGAGACCTGGTATTTATAATCCTGATTAGCATCAGCCTGGTTGCTACCAGCAGGTTTACTGCATGCATCTGATCAGTCATGTCTGGATCTGTTCAGGTACTGATCCAGAAATCCTCTACTCTGAAGTCAGAAGAACCTGACCCACAGAAGCCATCAGCTGTGGATCCTCTACAGAGTGGACCTGCAGCTGTTTATCTCCTCTATAGCAGAATGTGGCGGCCTTCAACGAGTCACACTGCTTTGTTCTGTATGTAAAGCGGGTTCACACAGCAAGCTGATGTGCACATCTTTAAAAAAAGAAAAAAAAGGATTTAAGTTCAATTTCTACACTTGTTTTTCATGAGAACATTAATTTTATGCAGTAGATTATATTTAATATGGTTCTGTTTGTTGCTTTGCTACATGTAACTTTATTGGTTTCCATTAAGTTAATAAAAAAAATGTAAAAAAAAAAAAAAGATGGAACATAAGCTTTAACTGTTTTATAAACTGATGATATTTCAAATCGGGTTTAACGCATCAAAACTTTTAACGGGGCACCAAACAAATCCAACCTGAAACGTGCAGAGATCTCAGATCTTCTGGACTTTCTGTTTCCAACAGAAGAAAATGTGTTATGGTTGCCGTAGCAACAACACAGACAGCACCCTTGGTTCAGTTTGGAAGGTCTTTGGTTTTCTCTGCGGTTGTAAAGAGGAAGACCGTCGTGGTTTCACTATGTTGTCAGGTCAATAAGTCTGGGTTTGGTCTTGGGTTCAACAGAAGTAGGTCAGGTTTTATGTAAACGTTTAGAGAACCAGAGGAACCACACTGAACTCATGAACTTAAGCCGGTGTTCTGTCAGATCAACATACCCCATCAGACCAGCATACCCATAGTCAATCCCTGTTAATCCCTTAAGTTGTGTAAGAAAAATACACTTTAAACAACCTCAATAAAAGTGTATCCCTTAAGCCATGTACAAAAAAAGAATTAAATTACTTCCTTTTTTGAAGCATACGGCGATCTGACCTTAAATTGTTTTTTTGTACACGTTGTTTAAAGTCTATTTTTCTTACAAAACTAAAGGGATAAATGGGACTAGCATACACGTATGCAAATCTGACATCTTGCGAATGCATATTGACTATGGGTATGCTGATCTGACAGAACACCGAAACAGATCAAACTCTGATAGCCGACCCAGTTTCTGGTCTGGTGGCTTTACTACAAACCGCCATAATGACAAAAACTAAAATCATGAAAGATGATCTATTATCGCCAGCTGTGTGTTAATGAATGGAAGCTGTTGTGAATTTATTTTATCTTTGTTCATAGTTAACAGGTTGACCATGATTTCAACTTGAATCGCTCTGACAAAGGGGCGATTGGCCGTGTGTTTGCAGGCAACATGTAACAATCAGAAAAATGTTAGCCTAACACAGCTCAGTTCTGTATCCTAACCTCTGCTGTTGCCGGCCTCTCAGGTTCCTGCTTAGTTGGCATCATGCACCACTTCATTGGTATCCAAGCAACCTGCCTTGCAGGCGTCTAACGCCCCATTAACACTACCCTTTTGCAACCATGCAGAGAGTGGACCGAGCAAGGTAACTGAGATAACTGTTTATTATAAATGGAACACAAACTTAACCGGACAGTGCCAGACACAACCAAACCACGTTAAACTTGTACGAGTTCATCAGCAGGGCTCGACGCCGTTCAGTTCTGGCTTGGTTCTCTGATAACAAAGAGCGCATGAGCAGACCGCGTCAATTCCTTACAGTCAACTTCCAGTAGTTGGCAGTAATGCACATCAGTAAGTCGCTTGCCAACTACCATAAAACAGAAGAAGAAGAAGAACTTTAAACAACAATCGAAATCGTTTTTC